CCAGGCAGTTGTCAAGGGTAACTTCACCAACAACACATTCAGTATCCTAAATTAGATTATGCCTGTCCAAGATTATTTGCAGCTGATATACTATAAACTAAGCTCGTAAAAATTACTCTAGACTATAATGATCCTTCCTGTTAAATATGCTGCAAGTTTTAAGAGGCTTACTAATTCAAACATTGGATTAATGAGACACTGTTAGAGACAGAATTCAACATTACTATTTTATATTAAGATGCCACTACATTTTTATACAAAACTAGTTCTCTTTAATTAAGAAAAATTCTCCACATATCACTTAAAAGTATTCAATGACAAAATACAGATAACAACCTGAATATCAAAACTACAATTTTGTTTCTTCAATAATAGTATAAAAACTCAAGCATGTGGAAGTGTCTGCTGTTAGTCACATTCAAGCTTTTAGCAAGAGGTTCTCCAAGGGTTACCATTCTTACTGTTTTCTTAAAACCCAAAATGATTCAACTTTTCTCAAAGTAATAACTGTTTCATAACACTTTTGATAGAATGCAAAAAAGCTCCAGAAGTGAATAGAGGCACATTCTAAGAAGAAAAATCTAAAAGTAGCAATTCTGCTTATACTTTTTATTAAATGCTTTTGTGTATTATTTGCCTTCTAGAAAGTCCAATTTGAAGGTTATTAATACTGTATAACCAGACAGTTGAATCCACATTAATTGACTTAAGATTAATGGCATCCCTACATTAAACCATCTGTCTCCTAAAATAACTCCAGAAATAACTATGCAGCTTTTCAGTATTACTGAAAAGTGTAAAGATCAAGACATGGGGATCAGAATTAGGAATAAGATGGCATTAAAAATTAAATAAATAAATAATTGAACTTACAATAGGCAAAATTCTGTTAAGTTATACCAGTGTAAACCAGATCTAGCACCAGAAACATTTAAATTTAAAGTTTCATATATCCAAGGCTCCCAAAAGCTTCCTTTTGCCCTTTGGGAGCCTTGGAATAAAGGAAAACTCTTTGTTGTTGTTGTTGATGATGATGTTGATGTTGATGATGATAACCACTACCAGATTAGCACTGCTGGGATCAGGAAGACTGGCTGTGATCCCATGGAGATTTTACATATCAAAGGCTCTCCTCCCTTTCCCCCCACCCCAGCAAACAGGAGCCCTAGGGAGCCTTGGAACTTAAAATGGAAGGACAGGAAACTTTCAATTAGTTTAAATTAAATGTTTTCAGACCAGATCTGGTTTATACAATGTAACTTAATGCCAACAAGATTTTGTCTAATTTGCATTAAAACAGATACTGTACAGTATTTCAGGGTAACACAATTTCCAGAAGTGAAATATCCTTTCTTTGTTGAGCATTAAGATTAACTCAAAATACTTTAAGAAAACTGCAACTGATGCAAACCAACTCTTCATCAAAGCAACAATCCAGATGTGTAAAACCTTGTAAATAAATAAATACCAATAACAGTAGTCAATGAGTACCCCAGATTTGTTGTTATGTGCCTTCAAGTCAGAACTAACCTATAGCAACCCTAACAGGGCTTTCAAGGTAAATTAGACATTTAAGGAGTGGTTTTACCAGTTCCACACTTCCAATTAATTTCCATGGCCAAGTAGGGATTCAAACCCAGGCCTGTCTGTTGCTACAACATGCTAGGCATCAACCCCCACTTTACCCATCTGATTTTCTCAGCACCTGTTTTAAAGGTATTCAGGTGTCTACCCCAACTGTCAGAAACACATCCACAAGAAGTCAGTGATTCTGAAACTATGGAGAAGAGTGATATCCCTTTAAAAATACACCTGATAAATACATCAGGCTGCAAAGTGGAGCACTGAATAAAAAGGATGGTTACTTTATTTGCTCACAAAAGGTTCCTAGAATAGAGAATACTGGTCAACTGTTGAGCACTCATTTTCTCAGAACTGTTTCCTCCACTAGTTATTTAGAGTAGTGGTTTCCAGCCTTGATTGCCCAGATGATGTTCCGCTTCCAGTCCCAGAGGCACCAGCCCAAAAAGCTAGAGCCTGTATTACAACTCAACATCTTGAGAACACACAGACTGAGAACCAATGGTGCAGGATACCTATATAGAGGGCAATCCTACCCGTTTTTAATACAAAGTCCCAGTAAGTTCAGTTGAGCTTACTTACACGCATGTGTGCTTAAGAATGCAGCCTTGGTAATATGCTTAGAGAAAGGTTGGTGTAAAATATTATAAGCAATTCCTTTTCTGAAACTTAATTCTGTAAGAAATCCTCTGATTCAGTGTGTTGTTTGCAGATACACACTCCTTCAATAGCTGGGATTTTGTTTTGGGGGGTTGTACAGGCTATTTTATTTATGTCATACTGTCAGATTAAACTGCATCCCATATCATTTTAAAAAGCTTTTCTATTTAAGAATAAGAATGTAAAGCTTTTCCTGGATGCAATTTCAAAAAGCCATCTTGTGCACACACCCATTTTAGCTAGGTTTTAAAATTCTAATTGAACATCTCTTAATGGATAATAGCACCACTTGAGAGCCTCATAGGTAAATGACAATTCTGGGCAAGTATTAAGGTAAAAAAAATGAAATACCATATCTTAAAATTATAACAAATGGAATGAAACAACGTATGACATGCACAAAACGGTTTTCTTTTTGTATTCAGAATAATTGTCATAGCATATCTGAAACAGCTTGGCAAAGACAATGAAATAATAAGATATTCGATCACTGCTCATATTGCTCATTTATATGCAAGTCTTGAAGCACCTTCCAATGCGAGACTAGTGTCCACTATCGTTTTAGACACAGTAACAGAGTTCATCGTAGATATAATGACTTCCTATTCTCTTGTGTTTTAGGAAGTGTGGAGGTTCCTCTCTCCAATATAAGACCAGGCTTTTTGGTACATTTTATATTTGATCTATACTGTTAAGATCTGCATAGTATAAGAATACTGCTCCTTTTTATTCTATTGTGATTAGGGCTTTCCTCCTCTAGTCTACATTTTGGTTCAGATATATGATGCATATCCAATATGCAACTGCACACAGAACACATATGTACAATGAAAACTTGCATACAGTATAAGCTTTTGTACATCAAGAAGATTTAGACAGAGATTAAATACTTAAAAAACCTATGAACTAACCCTGTCTACAAATAACCATTTCACATCTTACGATCCTTACTGAACATTTCTGTGTTGAAAGCTATGGCTCCTTCTACAATTATCATGCTCTGTGCTATATTATCCCTATTAGTTATTATCTACATGGTAATTCATTCATATATTCAGCAGAAAAAGTAATCTAACAGAATGGTTCATAAAGAAATAATACTAAAACACTTTTTAAAATGACCCCAGACCACATTTGTATATTTAGTATTCAGCATTCCAAGTTTTTATTACCAAACACTTCAGGAAGATATGCTTTCTAAGAGCTATTAACATATTGCAGTGAGGTACTGCCATCTGAAGTACTCAAAGAAGCTACAGTACACAATATTCTCTGTCATGGAAAGTGGAGACATTACACTGCTGTTGTGCAGCACAGACCACACGTCTAATCATTTTTATTAAGAACCAATACACAGATTTAAGGCTATCATATAGTTATGGTAACAGAAACTTAATATCTGTTCTATTTGTACATATTCTTCATATTCTAGCTACCGAAGAGATCTTTATTCATTTTCATACTCAGCACCTGCACCATATCGTAAGCAGGATATCACCCCCTTTAAAATAACACGACTTAAGTGTGCTACAAAAATAGACAGGAAATAAAGATTTTCTTGAGAAACTTGCCAAAGTGAAGACACCAAAACCAGCCACTGCCTCCCACAGGAGCAAAACAAAACTTTTAAACCGACAACTTTGCTAAAATGGCATAAAATAAATAAATAAATAGAATCACTGGATGGCTTTAGTTTCAGACTGAAGCACCCAGCGCCTCTCCTCCCACCACAGTCCCCTTTGGCTTTACAGCCGTGTTAACAAGCAAGAAAACGGAAGCTGCTTCTGCTCGCTTCCACATCCCATCCCCAAGCGCTCGCCATCGCTGGGATGATACACAGCACAAGAGGGGCAGAGACTCCGGGCATCCTCGCACGGCCTCCCAAACCAGCGGCTCCCCTTCACGCTGGCTAGAAGAGCCGAAGAGTCTACCCACGCCTGAAACTTACCAAGTCCGCGATCCAGGAAGGCGGAGAGAGAGATGGGGAAGCACAAAATCTGAGGCTTTTCAGAATGTTGTTTGTTTGTTGTTTTTTTTGAGAGAGAGAGAGAGAGAGAGTCACGTCCTGTTCTCTCCTTACTCCCCAAATGTACCCTCAAGTTAACCGGCTCCCTTCCCGCCCCGATTCTTACACATTTTCGCCAAGGCTCAACAGGAATAGATATGGAGGAAGAAGAGAAGCAGCACGACACGGGTCTGAAGGGCTCAAGAAGCCTCCCTCCTAAACGCCTCTCTGCATGCCTTCTAGGCGCTCTTGAGACCCCAGCCACCCAAAATTCACGTGGAAGGCACACTCTCTCTCTCTCTCTCTCTCGCTCTCACACACACACACACACACACACACACACACACACACACACACACATCCCGCATGAATGAGCTCCGAATTCCTGCACTACCCAATACTGCTTCATGAAATTCTTCTTTCTTCTCTCCACACCCCACTCGCGGGGTACTTCAAACTTAACATGACAAGATGAGGAAATACGTAGAAATTATCCTTTCCAGCACGGAAAAGGAGCGTTTCGGGCAACTTCCCGCACTTTCCCAAGCTCTCCACGAAGCCCCCTACTCCCAAAAAAATGCACCCAGCCCAAGGACGCCCCCCTTCGGCACGCCTAAAAGAGGGTCGCCCCTCAAACTCTTCCCCCTTGGTGGTCTCTAAGTGGGAGAAGGAAGGGACGCTTCACCTTTTCCGTGGCTTAAGTACTGCACTGTTATCCCCTCTCCGCCGCTCCATGTGTGTACCTTGCACTCACCGGGTAAAGGAGCTGAGCGCGCTTTCGCCTCAGCGTGTTTTCTCCCCACCTCACGCTCAGCTCGTAGCCGCCATTTTGATCGCTGACTAGATTTAAAATAGGAACCAGCCTCCTCAGAAGCAGCCGCCAGCTAGAGCCGGAGCCAGTCCGGCAAGCGCGTAGTCAGCTGGGAGTTGTAGTTCTCAAGCTTCCTTACGGGAGGGAGGGCGCACGACACACGCGCTCTGTTCTTCAAAGCCTTACTTCACCGCATACCGCCTAGGCGCCGCCGCCACGGTCCCGCAAAGCCCTTTGGGATTTGTAGTCTGGGCGCAATATGATGACTACAGTACTGTACACTGTGCTTATTTTCCTCATGCCCGCCAATACATCTTCCTTGTAAAAGAAGGAAAACGTGCTGAACCATACTAATGATTTATCCGGAATTTAGCAGTTTTAATTGTGGAGACGCACCAAAACGAATTTTATTCTGAAGGAAATCAACCCCGAGTGCTCCTTGGAAGGACAGATCCTGAAGCTGAGGCTCCAATACTTTGGCCATCTCATGAGAAGAGAAGACTCCCTGGAAAAGACCCTGATGTTGGGAAAGTGTGAAGGCAGGAGGAGAAGGGGACGACAGAGGACGAGATGGCTGGACACTGTCACCGAAGCGACCAACATGAATTTGACCAAACACCGGGAGGCAGTGGAAGACAGGAGGGCCTGGTGTGCTCTGGTCTATGGGGTCACGAAGAGTTGGACACGACTTAACGACTAAACAACAACAACCAAAACTAATGTTTTATGTTTTGATTATGTAAGAAAGCTATATTTCTTGCAATTGAATTGCCCCCAAACTATAATTAAAATTGTTTAGGTTTCCGCCCCCTCAATAAGCACAGTAGTTAATTGCACGCCATTCAGTCATCACACTAAAAAAACAGTGTTAGTGCCCGAGGTAAAGTTTGAGATCTCCAGATTTCGAAGCCAAATTACAGATATATACAATCACTCTAATTCAGAAAAGGCAGATATACAGAACCTCATTTTTACCTCCAAAGCTCATATGTGTGTCCATGGTAAGCACGGAGTTCAAGGCATTACTGTAGTACAGCACAAGATTGTGGATCAGTAGTATAGTGCAAAAGCATGCAATCTCCTGAATTCAGTATTAAATAACATTAATCCAAATCCATGGATTTAACAGTAATGAAAAGGTCACAGCTGCAGTAGTTGGAGCCACATTACATCACAGTAAACATTTTCGTGCATTTGATCATTGTTACGGAGAAACTGTCCACACTGGCATCTAGTTACGCTGTATGGACCTCTGATGGCACTATTTGGCATGGGGGGGGGGGATATTATTCAAAGGAGACACCATTGCCTCAGAGTATCTCCTGATTCCTGTACAGTATGTTGCATGCCATAAAGTAAATTTTAATTAATGGAAACCTTCATGTGTGTGTCCTGTGCCGTCAAGTCAGAACTGACGTTGCGATCCAATAGAGTTTTCAAGGTACGTGAAATATTTAAGAAGTGGTTTTACCCCCAGTGAGTTTCCATGGCCAAGTGGGGGTTTGAAACCTGTTCTCCAGAGTCCTAGTCCATCACTCTGTCCACTACACTGGCAACCTTAATAGGTAGGGTTTAAAAAGTGTGTGAGATGTTCAAGGGGTGGTCTACCACTGTCACCACCTGGTGAGTTTCCATGGACAAAGAGGGACTGAAACCCAGATTTCATGGATTCTACTACCTCTTTCTATCCACAGTGGCTCATAAATCAACATCTGAGATATTCAAAATCCAGCACCTAAGAATAAATGTATGTAATAAATGTACATACATTTAACAGTTTGTACACAGATACATAATTACATAATAAATTCACGTTAAACTTATTGCCTGCCTTTTTCTGGATCAATACTAGGGAATAGGAAATACCTGGATTGATTCACCAAGTTAGAGTGGTTTGCCAGATCACTTTAGCAGTGGCAATTTTAATTTCTGACTTAATACATCATCCTATTGTAAATGCACAAATAAATGGAAACTAAATTACAAGCCAGAAAAAACAGAGTTTGATCATACCCAGTTACACAACTTTTTCCAGGTAGAGTAGGAGACAATACTGCACTGTGTGGTATATGAACACAAAGCAGTAAGTTTCATTTAGAATAGAGGCATTGGGATCAATTGAATTTATAGAGGAGCTGACCCATCAATTCCCCATTGATTTTCTGGACCGAATCTAGTATTATTTACTATGCTAAGCAACAGGATTTTGACCACTGGGCAGAGTCCTATTGCTGGCTTACAACTCAGTAACTGAAATTGCATAAGACTTGGTGGCAAATTGTTGTCATTAATAAAGTAGTGATTGCGTACCTGGGCCTTCACCCAAGAATCAATATCTCTTTAATGAGTGGCAATATTCTGCCAAGATTTATATGATTTCCCTTGTGAAAGGTTTTGGCAACTGAATATTATTTTCTGGCATTAACACTACTATCACAGCATTGACAACTTCACAGGATTGTTCAGAGAAATTCCTCCCATGTTCTAGAATGATTGTGTGCCTTCTAAGTCTGCTCTCCACATGCTCATCCAGGCAACATCAAGCTCCCTGACATGCCTCCTTTTGGTTTTTTATGTCAAAATCAGACATGGACTGGACAGGCCTTCAAATGGAGGACATTGTCCATCCTTCTGTATAGAGTGGCCACCTTAAAAGGATGTGAGGGTGCCTGTATCTTCAACTGTTGCATAAAATAGAAAATTCAGGAAATACTGCTTGTTATTTCTGCTTCCTCACAGCTATTAAAGGTATAGCAGCCTTGACTTCTTTCATGTGGCCATCCTGCAGATGTTGATAATTAGGGAGACAGAGTTTTCACCATAGTATCAGTACCTTAAACACTTGAAAGTTGGCAGATAAATGAAAATAATCTGGGATTATTTCATTTTTTAAAATGGATTAATTAATTTTAACTCAAAACTGTTGTTAGCATGCAGTACCCATGGTTGAGTCACTAGGTGGCAGGCACCAGTCTCCTCACAAGCAGAGAGCCTTGCTTTTCCTTTACTGTAGTGCAAATATTTGTTGCTGGTTTAGAGCAGCCTACTTAAGGTTTTGTTTTTGACCCCATGAAGCCACATTGTGCTGAACCTCTTCTGTCTAACCTGCTAGGAACTGCATGTTCATGACCCTAAGTCTCACCTATGTAGACAAGCATGCAAATTTTAAGAAAGACAGAATTCCTGCTATCTGTATTATGGGTTCAGGAAATTAAATAGACGAAAAGACTGAATGAGTAGTGAAATAGATGGAGACAGTAAACAATCAGAAAAAGCATGGAAGGCACATTTGACCCATTGCCCAGTTGGTTAAGATTTACTTGAATTCTAGTCATGCCAGGTTTTGCCTATTTATAATATAATGTAATATCTTAAAACTGCAGAGCTAGAATGGAGCTATTGCATCCTCCAGCTCAGCTCCATCTGCCCTGGACTGTCAGATTTCATTTCAAAAACTGATATATATTTGCACTCCACATCATTCCAGTTTTAATTTTACACATTTATCCTAAAGAGATCTTGGGATTTATGAGGTACTCACAAAGTACCACGGTACTTTTAGAAAAGATGGGTTAAGACATAAGGTAAAGTAAAAGTTGCCCTTGACATTTAGTCCAGTCGTGTCCAACTCTATGGGGTGGTGCTTATCCCCATTTCCAAGCCATAGAGCCAGCGTTTGTCCATAGACAGTTTCTGTGATCACGTGGCCAGAGCAACTAGATACGGAATGCTGTTACCTTCCCACCATGGTGGTACCTATTTATCTACTTGCATTTGCATGCTTTTGAACTGCTAGGTTGGCAGGAGCTAGGACAAGCGACGGGAGCTCACTCCGTCGTGTGGATTCAATCTTACGACTGCTGGTCTTCCGATCTTGCAGCGCCTCCACGTCTGTATTCATACATGAAATGTAAAATGTCTGGTGTTCAAGCTGGATTTAGAAAAGTAAGAATCACTAGAAATTATATTGCAGATTAGCTACTGGAATGTATCAAATAATTTCAGAAGAAAACCACCTGGTGCTTTTATAGGTTACAACAAAGTTTCTATATGGATCTGGAGAACTATGGATTGTTCTAAAGAAATAGGTGTGCTCCAACAATTTATTGTCCTGATGCAAAACCTATATACTGAACAAGAAGAGACTGCAACAGTCAGAAGAAACTGACACTCAGAAGGCTGGCTACAAAGGAGCTAGAAAATATCCCCTAGTGCAAGGATGTATTAGTGGAGACTAAGGGGAAAATCACCTACACTACGGTATTCTCGATTATGATGTACAGATGTGAAACCTGATTTCAAATAAAAATTTGAAATTGGGTGATGGAGGGGAACTTTATCATTACCATGGAGAGCCAGAAATACAAATAAGTAAATCATTTATTAAATCAAGTCTGAACTATCCGTAGAAACAAAAAACTGAGGCTATAGAATAGTCCCAAAACCAGCAAAATCAGGGAGCTGGACAGGGAACATATTGTATTTGTCTTCAATGGAAGAGATTGTCACTCTCGAATTGGCCTTCTCAGCCACACTAGACGCTGTTCCAAGACCTCCATACAGAGCATGTTACCATAGTCTCTCGAGACTGAAGGATGCTTACTAGGACTACTAGGATGGTCTATTGTACTAAAAGAGAAACCAGAAGTCTAGTTTTATAGTGTTAGAGCAGGTTGGCTGATAGATCAGCAAAGTTGTGTGCATCTGAAATGTCCTTAGGGAAAAGGGAATGGTAAGACTGCCAAAATGAGTACCTCTTCAAAGCACAATAATTGCTTATTTATTTAAAATATGTATATGCTGACCTTCTCCTGAAGGATCCAAGGCAGCCGACAGCATTTAAAAGAAACAAAGTGAAAAGTCAAATAACAAATTATTGAAATATTTAAAAAGCATTAAGCAACTATAATATTAAAACTCATAATAAGAACAATATTAACATTACAAGTAAAACACAGAATAAAACTTCATAGTGGTCAACGAGATGGCATACTGTAACTTCACAAGCAGCTCATGTTCCACACCAACTTCCTGTATGTGTTCCAGTAACTGTTGGTCAGAAACACATTGTCCATGATGTTGGCAAGTAA